GGTATAACTGATAATGAATAGGAGGAGCCGGTAGATCATAGGGAGGCTGAGGAGTCTTCTGGAGGAAAGGTTTTTACCACTTTGTGTTACGTGAGAGCTACATGACGGGCAAATTCACTTCTGTGCTTCAGGTTTTCTCCATAAAAGAGCACCATATACGCTAATGCTTGTTGAGCTGCTAAGCCGGCCGCAATGCCAGGCTCAAAACTACAGCGGATGTAGCTGTTACAGTATCTCAGAGTGAAGCCCTTTGTCAAATGCAAATTTTGTCCAAATACAAATGTTAATTTGACCATTTCTGCCAAGAGAGAACAGCTCGTCCCTTTAATGAAACAGACTGTGACGTCTTTGATGGGACCAAGATGAGGCTTTCTACTCCTCTAAAGAGTTACAGTCTCGGATCCCCACAGGAGCAGTTCTACCCTGTCCTGGAGGGTCACTGTGAGCCCGAAACTACTAGATGGCAATGAGGTTGTTTTCGGTTTTGAGCTTGACATCTTTGAAAATCAAAAACTCCACCTGGATGGATTTCCTCTGGTACCAAGTAAATTCCAGCTAATAGTGGCCCCATGTGGTAGCGAGTAGAACTGCCTCTGCTTGCTTCATCTCCAGCGAAGCAGGCCTGCTAGTCAAGTTCCCACCACCAGCCATTTGGTTAGCAACACACATCGTTGGTGCCATTTGGGCCTTAAAAGTGCATTACTTATCCCTAAAGGGGACAACTGAGAGTGCCTGAGCAGACTTTGGGTAGCTCCTGGAAGCAGAGAAATGTAGCATTTGACAAAAACAGGAACTGGATGAGTTTTTCCCCCAAGAAGATTAATATTAAGAACGAACAGCTTGACCAAAACTCAGGATTAGGAAGAAAACATTGATGATCATAACTAGAGTTGTACTAATATTGGGGGTGGGGTGGGGGTTACTAAAAGTTCATGGAAAATTTGAATTAATATGAAGTGGAATTTTTCCAAGATATTTTAAAAGCCCCAGCAATTTTCCCCCCAACGTTGTGTGCTTCCAGGCCAAGGACTGAAGTATTTTACGTGTATTATTTTCACTATCTCATTATGTGAGGCAGGCATTTGTTATCCCCACTTAGAGAAAAGGGGCATTGGGCTCTACAGAGGGTTAAGGAACCACCAAGGGTTAGGCCTCTTCCACCTGGTTCTCTCAAGCTGTCATTAAGCTCTTGGCTAGTGTCCCCTTGAAGGTGGTCCTGAGCCAATCCTGATTCTAAGGACCCTTAGTTGTGCTCTTAGCTTTCTTGCTTCTGCTTCTGTCACCACTAAAAAAGAAACGTCTGAGTGCTTGGAGATTCAATGATTGCTGCTTGTTGTGACAAATACTTAGAGATGGGAACAATGACACGAAATAGGAATGCAATAAGAAATCGTGATCTCCACAATTTTAAGAATATGGGTGACCAGTGCAATCAGCTGGCTAAGAAGGTTTGGTTCAGTAGTGCCTCAGAAGTGATTTGTTTGGCCCTTGATGCAAAGAGGGCTATCAAATGGGGTGGGGAGTGGGAGGGAGAAGAGACACAGGATTTTCTTTGAGATTGCCTGTTTGCCTTCTCTTCAGATAAGGGTTGGAATCATGACTGGGAAGAGTTTAAAGTGCTTGTACATAGAATTCAATACGTTCCTTCTCTTGCCCTTTGGGCTATCTGTGATGTAACTGACCACTGGGTTCTGAGACACTTCTGACAATTTTCTTCACATTCCCGGTTTTTTTTTTTTTAATCAATTTATTGGGGCTCATAAAATTCATCGCAATACATAGATCAATTGTGTAAAGCACATCTATACATTTGTTGCCTTCATCATTCCCAAAATTCGCTTGCCTCTTGGGTTCCCGGAATCAGCTCATTTTCCTTCAACCCCCCCCTTCCCCTCCCTCTGCCCCCTCCCCCACATTCCCGGTTTCTTATCCTAAATTGTGGTTTGTCCTCTCAATCATTGCATACGGCTCTTCAATGGTGGATAATGGCATTAGCTTTGATCCTGACCCATCATGGAAGTGTTGGGCTACCCTGGTAAGGAGTGTGTTGCGCATCTGCAGTACGAGTCTGGTCCATGCTGTGGCTTGCTCCTCTTTCACTTGGTGAATCCTGCCTCTGGCCAAAACCCTGCCTACACACCTACTACTGTTTGTGGAACTGAGCCACGAGTGGTGGTGAGCAAGACCCCTTGGGAGTAACTGGCCAGCACTGCTCTAGCCCATCGGAGACAGGTGGAGTTCATGGTAGCTCCTGATTCACTCCAGTTTACCACTCTAGGTAGCATATGGCCCTAGGTCTAGAGATAATTTTTTAAATGATTCTTTTCTTCTTCACCATTTCCCCCCACCTCTTCACTCAGCCTCATCTGGCTCATAAGATAACATAGACGTATACTCATATCGAATGATGAGGGCAATGAATGTACAAATGCGCTTTACACAATTGATGTATGGATTGTGATAAGAGTTGTATGAGCCCCTAATAAAATGACTGGGGGGAAAAAAGTATACGCATATCAATGAGCAGTTGTGTAATGAGCCTCGGAGGACAGGTTCTGTGTGTAAGAAGCAGATAGCAAAGATTTGCTCTTAAGTTTCTCGATAGGGCTGGTAGGAAGCCATGGAATAGATTCCTTGTATTACGAACAGCCTTTGCATATTCCTGTGCTAGACACTGAAGGTTGGACAATGAATAAGGGTTCACCACAGAACAATTAATGCATTGTGAATTATGGATTATGGTGCTGGCAAAGAATATTGAAAGTATTGCGGGCTGTCAGAAGAATGAACAAATCTGTCTTGGAAGAAGTACAGCTACCAATGTCCTTAGAAGAGAGAATGGTGAGACTGTCTCACAGACTTTGCATCAGGAGAGGCTAGTCCCTGGAAAGGGGCATTATGCATGGTAGAGGCAATGAAAAAAGGAAGACTCCCAACGAGATGGGATGACAGTGGCCACAAGAATGGACTCAACACTTGTGAAGAAGGCACAGGACGGGAATATTGATTGTACTCGCCAAGTTGGAACAGACTGATGGTAGTTAACCATATAGGCAGGCACTGCCATAAAGTATATGTTTGCACTCAGTTGCACTTAATCTCATGCTAGACACTGCATGAAGCTGTTTCATGAGATAACCTTGCAAATTTATAGTCTAGTAGAGGAGGTGGATCGAACTAGGAATTAGAACATTTGAGTGCAAAGCGAAAGTGAGGGCACATCAGCTGCAGGTGACAAGAATGCCTGGGAGAAGTGACATTTGAGTGGCGTGCCATGGAGAAATTTCTGGCTTGGTTAACAAACTATTCATACCACTCACTGGCGCTTTGATTAGAAAAAATAGGAAGAGATTTGTTCAGCTTGATGTGTCTAAGGAGCATTTAAAGGAGTTCTGGTGGGGGGACCAAATGATGAATGGCTTGAACAGTTGGATGCAGATTGGTTTGAAATTAACCCCCCACCTAATTCATAATTAAAAATTAAATAAGCCCTGATGGTATGTGTTGAACTGCTAATCACAAGGTCAGAGGTTCAAACCCACTAACCGCTCCATGGGAGAAAGATGAGGCTATGAACTAATATTTTGTTGCCTCAGAAACCTGGGAGTTGAAATTGACTCAAAAGCCGTGGGGGGTTTTTGTTTTGTTTTGATGGAACATTTAAAGAGTCCTGGTGGCGCTGTTAAGCACTGGGCACTGGACGGCTACCTACAATGTCATTGGTTCAAGCCCCGGCCACTTTGAGGGAGAAAGATGAGGCAGTCTGCTTCTGTAAAGATTTATTGCTTTGAAACTGAAGAGCAGTTCTCTTCATACAAACCTCGCACCAAGACCTCTCAGAGAATGAGAAGCTTGAATTGCTGTGTGTTCTGGGAGTGGGGTGGGAATGAGGAAGGACTGGGATGGAGGTGGCAGTTACAAATGTGAATTGCTTTCACCATCAAAAGTTGTACACAGAATTAGGCAGTGTGAAGGGGTGAAGGAAAAGCTAGAGGAGGTTTTCACAAAGGACTTGGGAAGGTTTCACTTTCCATCAGGACGCAGGTGACCATCTAGGCGGAGCCAGAGCAAGCTGTATGAAACCCAAGTACGGAGGCAAGGATTTGAACTCTTCCAGGACAGTGGGAGCCCAGGGTTCCAGGAGTCGGGCTAGACTGGGGCTAGCGTGAGGGGACAGTAGAGGAGGTAGCCAGAGCTGAGGCAAGAAGTGGTTGGGGCCAGATTTTGAATTTGGCCTCCTAGGGGACAGAAAGTCATTTAGGGCTCTTCTATGCTCCTCCCCTTTCAGACGCTCCAGACATCCACCAAAGGAAGTCCTGCCTCCCTCACAGGGCGTCTCCTAGAGCTGGTCTGGAATAGGAAGAGGCTAGCGGCACAGATAGGTTCTCCCGTGGATTTGCGTGGAGGAGAGAGCCCAGTTACTACCTCCTGGGAACTTTGTAGGCGTTGAGGACAATCTGCGCTTCAGAACGCGCCCAGGCCTGCAGTTGGCAGGACTCAAATTCTTCATTCCCAACCGGGAACTCTGTCCCCGGGCTGCCGGGACACCGTGTCCTGTCACCGCAACTTCACTGGCTTCAAAAACCCTCAGTCAGGATGGGAGAGAAAAGCAGAGAGGGGAGCAACTACACTCAATTGTTCTAGGAGAGTCCATAGGAGAGGTGGGATGTGGGAGTCCCATCAGAACCCAGCTTACAATGAAAGCTGTTTGGGGGTGAAGGGTCCGAAGCTCCACCTGTACTGGGACGTGGGTGGAGGTCAGAGGGCCAGGCATGTGGGGGGGTGAGGTGTGGCGTGTAAGGGTGTAGGGTGTGTGGGTGTAGCGGTGTAAGGATGAGAGGGTTTAGGGGGGGCGTGGGGGCGTGGGGCCGGCCGGCGCCCCGCCCTCTCCCCGGGCCTGCGCACTGGCGGCAGCGCGGAGGCTGTGGGGGCGTGGCGTGGTTGTCTCCGCCCCCCGCCCCGGGCGACGTCTGGGCGGCGGGGTTGAACTCGTCGCTAGCGGGGCCGGCCTCACACTGGAGCGGCGGCGGCGGCGGCAGGATGAGCGCAGGCCCGGACCCCGTGGTTATCGTCTCGGCGGCGCGGACCGCCATCGGTGAGTGGCGTCGGAGGGCGGGCGTCCGTATTGTCCAGTTGTCTGTACGCCCGCCACGCGGAGTATGGGACGCGGAGCGAGGGACTCCGCGGCTGAGGATGGTGGGGTGCACGGGCGAAGAGTTCCCGCGGCTGAAGAGGGAGTGCCGGGGAGCTGGGTGAGAGACCCCTCGGGTGACGGTGCACGGGGCCGGGAGACCCCGCGGCTGAGGAGGGGACTAGGGGCGAGTAGATCCCTTGGAAGGAGAGAGAGGAGGGAGGGAGGGTAGGCGGTGGGCACCGTGCCCGTCAATCCTAGCTTCGCCACTGCCTGGGACGCCTCCCCCAACCACGCCGTATTTTGCCCGAGAGGCCGCCCTTCCGCGGGCTTTGATTGGCTCCATGAAGTAGAGCCACGTTCGGCCCGGCGTTACCATTGGCTGACGGAGGGACGCGCCTTCTCCTGAGGCCTCTGATTGGCCAGCGTCAGGACGAGCCATCTGTCCCACCTGTGGTGGGGATGGGGATGGCCGGGCTCACGGGGGTTCTGAACTGAATGGGAGTGGGAGTGGGGGAGGATGACCAGGGATGGTGGGCTGAATTGAGGGTACAAGTTAGGGGGGGCGGGTAGGGAATGAAATAGCCAGATGAAGGGGCCGGCTGGGGAGGAGGGGAGAAATGAACTCAGGGCACTGAGCTTGGGGGAGGTGGGGGCGTGGCAGCGGCAGTGGACGCTGACCTGGAGAGAAAGAGCATGGGGGGAGGATGGGAATGAACGGGATGGGGGAGGATGGGAGGAGGGAATGAGGAGTTAGCTGTGTTGGGGTGGAATGAAGGTGGCGAAAACTGGACTGGAGGCCGAAGATACCAACGGGAATCAGTCCAAGCTGTGGGGGTACCAGCCAGGGAAGCGTGCGTGAGGTGTGGGGTGAGCTGTGCTCCTACAATGACGGTGGACTGTTGTAGTTAGTTCTTTAGAGTTTTCAAAGCCCTTTGACCAAGATCTCTTGACTTCATTTGTTTGGGATTCATGGGGAGGTATTCATCCTCTCAATTTTATGTAAATACATGGCAATGTTTTTCCCTGGCCAGAAGCTGCTGTAAGCCATTCTGAATGTCACAACTCCCATTTGCAACTGTAACGAGTTGTGACGTGTCCGCCACCTTTATCTAGACTTGCTAGTTTGGAGAGCCATGTGCAGCAAAAGGGCAAACCTTTTGGTGGCTTTCTTCATAGGTTCAAATTCGTGCTTGCATGTGAGGGGCCTTAGGCCCGGGCCATAAGTGGACTTCCTTCCAAACTGTTAGGTTTCAGCATTACTTTATATCTGTACCCCCCCACCCCTGTTGTGTTTTAGGCTCCTTCAATGGCTCCTTATCTACTGTTCCTGTCCATGACTTGGGTGCGGTTGTCATCAAAGAAGTCCTGAAGAGGGCTAGTGTGGCTCCAGCTGAGGTGTCTGAGGTCATATTTGGACATGTTTTAACAGCAGGTAACTCGATTTTTCACCCAGGCAATGGTCAGGTTTGTGAGGAACACTGCACTCTTACAAACCTGCATTCTCACTTCCATATATTTGCTTATGGATTTTCTACTTTTAGAACACATTCTATCCCCCATCTGCCAATCTCTGCCAATAGCTTCTTTAATAAACTTTTCCAGAATGAACCTAGACTACAATCATACATCATTTTCTCATTCCCTATAAGAGAGTATACTTGGCCCTCTATGTTCCCTGAAATGTCACTCGTTCAGTAAGATGTACCCATACCATGCTAGGTGCTAGGGATCTGGCTCCAACTACACAGATAAGATCTTAGCCCCATCGAGCTCACTTTTGAGCTAGATAAAGAGGAACGTAAAGAAGGAGATGGGTGAGATGTGAAAAGGAGAGAGTCGTGGGTAATGCAAGTGGTTCAGCACCACTAACTGGAATATTGGCAGACCCAGTCCATCCAGAGGCACGCACGGTTGATGAAAGGGGTAGTTATGAATAATGAAAGGGACTGAGTGAAAAGGTTTTGGGCCAGATGACATAGTTTCAAATCCCAGTTCTATCATTTATTTCTGAGTAATTCTGTGTAGTTGGCTAAGGTCACTGGACTTCATTATCTTGAGTATAAATTAGAGATAAAAATAATTGTACTCCTAGGGATTCAGTCAGACATAGCTTTGATGGTGTGATGGTCAGTCATTTCCTCTTTACCGCATATTGCTGAATAAAATTTTAAGTGAAATATTGCATGTAAGAGTAGATAAATGTTAACTTTTGAGATTACTGTTAATTGGGACATTGAGCCTTGGTGGTGCAGTGGTTATGCGTGGGGCTGCTAATGTCAAAGTTGTCAGTTGAAAAACACCCCGCTGTTCTGAGGGAGAGAGATGAGGCTTTCCACTCCTGTGACAAATTACAGTTTCAGAAACCCACAGGGGCAGTTCTGCCCTGCCCTATATGGTCTCTGTGAGTTGGAATCGACCTGATAGCAGTGAGGTTTTTTGTTTGTTTTTTTAAATAATTTTATTGGGGGCTCATACAACTCTTAACATAATCTATACATACTTCCATTGTGTCAAACACTTTTGTATATTTGTTTCCCTCATCATTCTCAAAACATTTGCTTTCCACTTGGGCCCTTGGTAACAACTCCTCGTTTTTTTCCCCTCCCCACTTTCCTCTCCCCCATGAACCCTTGATGATTTATAAATTATTATTATTTTGGGCAGTGAGTTATTAATTGATACATGAAACTGCTCCACTAAGGAGTCACTTATTGATATTAAGCATTATCCTACCCTGAACTCATTTTTTAAAAAGCAAATCTCAGGGATCGTTACCTACACAACACTGAGACTATTGACATTTCTTTACCCTGGTGCAAACAAGGGGTATTCATGAGCAGATGGAGAAGAATGACCAGATATTGACTCTAGTTCTCACCTCATTATGGCCTGAAGCTATTAGGAGACTACATTTACTTTGTGTAACAATGGCATGGTGAGGAGTGGGTGGGGAGTTATTGACCTGCCCTTAATTTCATAATGGGGAAAGACTGAAGATCACCAGTCCAAGGTTGCTGCGTATGCACCACAGATCAGACATACCTCCTCTCGACTGTTCCTCTCATGGCACTCTACTTCTCTACCAGAATTGATCATTCTTTCCAGTGGCCATACAGAACTTACAGGTCATAATCACATTTATGAGGTTCATTAAAGAAGTAAAAGTTTACAATTCAGGAATGCCTAGGATACAATTCTTGAATTAGAACAGGCTCTTTTCAGCTATGGTTGCAGATAGATCTCTCTCTGACCATTGACCTGGCATCTGCCTTGTTGGGTAAGCGTTATCTATACTGTGCAAAGTAACCAGAATGTGTGCCACGGTAATTGACCAACCTCTGAGATTCTGCCATTCACACAGTGTCTCTTGATACTAAATATCTTTCTCGTTCAAGTGAATTGAAATGTTTTAGTTGGTTGATTCAAGTTATTGCACTATCTTTGTTGAGTAGTTCAATGTTGGTTTCTTTGACAGCAAATAATTACTTAATGGAAGTTAAAACTTAAAACATAACATTAAAAATTGTCAAATTCACCTCAGATTACTCCAGGTGAAAATCTCTAAATACAGATAACCTATAATAACTTTAACAGTTAATTGTTTATAACACACACCAAAGTTTTTTCCTAGATCAACTCTAAGATGATCCATTGGTATACCTTATACAGGTGAAAAACAATCTTCAGTTTTCTTTCCTTTTTTATAATATCAAAGTTTCAAGTCTCCATGTGGGAAAAAAAATCATCATCATTGTGTTAGGCCCAGTTGACGAGATAAGCAAATCCAGTGATACTCATATATGTGGAAGAAAGAGTTTCATATCTACAGGTAATTCTATATCAAGAAAACATCCCAGCCTAGTCCACCTCAAGTCTATAAGTCCAATAAAAGTTCATATGTACCTCTTCAGACTCACGCGGCCACATGCAGTGATGCAGAGTGCAGGATGCTCTCAGACCGGTGGTGCGTGCAAAGTCCTGTGGATCCGAGGTCGGTGGAAACATGGCAGGGCTTGGGCAGCTCTCAGTGTCCAGCAAGCAGGAAAGTCAAGGCAGGTTGGCGGGGAGGGAGAGTTCCTTACGTCTTCCTCATGAGAAGGCCATGCCCACAAGCAGGCAACCATCGGGCTGTGACCTGAAGTTAAAAAGACTGGCTAGGATCCGTTCACCACATTGCACAGCCCACTTCCTGGCTTTTCCAGCCATTTCATATTTGAATGATTAATTTCCTCCTTCCAGTCATTTTGCCAGTCCAAAACAATCACAATGAATTAATTTTTCATTAGGGCAAAGATTCCGTAGGTGAGGTGACTTTGGTCCCAGCCTTTCAGGTCTGCTGGGATAGTCATCTGATTAGGCACATTCTCCAAAAGACTGACCCTTTCTGGGATCTGATAAAATTAAACAGAGGTTGCGTCCTTGTTCTAAGCTTTACAGGGATATTGGCATCGAAAAACCTTGACAGGATTTAGATGCAGCCACAGTACTGCAGTCCCTAAGTCCCACTGATTTCGTCCATCTTTATATAGTTATAGCTTCTAGAATAAGTCTTACAATCACAATTAACCCTGTTAATAATTATTCTCACAGCTGAAACATGGTTGTGTCAGCATTTTACCCACCCTCGTACTGAGACCTATCAGGAAAAAGAGGAAACCATTCAGTGGTTCTCCTCCTTGTCCCCCTCATTTTGAGACTAAGCTTATCCTCAAAAGTGTGTAAGCTACCCACTTCATGCCTTTACCTTATTTTAAATAGCTAATATTTAAATTACTTTCCCTGTCAAAGCAGTACTTAGAGGAGACGAAATGTGCCTTAATCCGTAGAATCTTTTGATCCAGTTGGAGATTGAATTTATGTATCCAAAGCAAAGTCTAGTCCACAGCAGGCCTTCAGAGTGTGGCAATTTGGATAAACTGACAGTCAAACATCTAGTCAGCTCATCTCTAGCCTCTGTAGGCTAGGTCAATGGATACCATTCCATGGCTCAGTAGTGCACACAGCTCCCTGCACTTTAGAGCCGCAGCCCCTTCTCTTTCCGCCCTAGCCCCATGTGATAACGCCAAATGGCACCACCCAATGATGCAAAAGTATCCACACAACTCCCTGCACTTGAGAACAACCAGCCCTTTCTTTGCCTCTCTTATCCCCAGTGTCTGAGCTATGTCAGTGGTGTCATTGTGCTGTGCAGTGAATTACACAATATGATCCTTTTAGCTGTACTTGTAATGCCTATCAAGTGAGTGGGTGGAGCTATGCAAATGACATGCTTCTGTCCCACCCAGGGGTTGGATACCTTGCTAACATGACCTTTGTGCAGGTGGGGTCAAGCAAATAAAAGGTTGCTCTCCTCATGAGAGAATTGGGACAATTTGACTATCCCACTAGGCTTAAAGAGGTTGAGTAGGGTATCTCATCCACCAAGGAGAGTCAGGACAGGTAGAACTGCCTTAATGCCAGCAGTTATCAACCTGTGGGTTACAACCCCTTTGGGAATTGGACAACCTTTCATAGGGGTCGCCTAAGACCATCGGAAAACATATTTCCGCTCCTCTATCCATCTCCAGGCGGGTCTACCCACATGCAGATACGCCCACATATGAGTGCCCGGTGTGAAGACTGTTACCCATGTAACACCATGCTTCAAGACAAAATTTTATATTAGAGACCAGCTAGGTAGTACTACTGCCTTGTAATTCCAAAGAGAAAAATGGGATTTGATTAAGAGCACATTTTTTTAAGTTACTCCATTGTTCTTTGCTATTTGTGGCTGCTATTTTCATTTTGTTAGCATTGTTTTTGATGAGCACTTTGAGTGGAGAGCCAAACATTGCCCTCTTCAGCTGACTTGCAGTGACCCTTCAACTTCAATAGGGAAGACAAAAAGCAAAAACAAAACCATTTTGTGTAAAAATGGCACTTAAGATGAGAGAGAAATTCCTTATACATGATGCCTTTGAGTGCTATCTGCCCGAAGCTTTGCTAGGCAGTAATACTGACTGCATTTTTATGAGGACATTGTCTCCCCTCGCTTCCTTGGAGCAGCTGTTAGAATAGAACTGCTGACCTTGCAATTAGCAGCCCAATTTGTAACCAGGCTTCTTTGCAGATAGCAGCCAGCACCATTACTAAAATTTTCACTTCCCACATCCCTTGTTCTTTCTCTTAAAATTCCATATTTCCACTCAAAGAATCAGGAAATGCCATGGCCAGGAATCTCACCTCTTCTCACTTGGTGAGGTGGAAGGAGATCCAGGACCATCAGTAACTGTAACCATGGCTGATTCTTTTTTTTTTTTTTTAAATCATTTTATTGGGACTCTTATAGCTCTTATCACAATCCATGTATCCATCCATTATGTCAAGCACATTTGTACATACATACGTTGCCATAATTTTCAAAACGTTTTCTTTCTATTTGAGGCCTTGGTATCAGGTCATTTTCCCCCCTCCCTCATGAACCCTTGATAAATCATAAATTATTATTTTCATATCTTACATTGTCTGCTGTTTCCCTTCACCCACTTTTCTATTTGTCTCCCTGGGGGGTGGGGTGTTAATATGTTAATCATTGTGATCAGTTCCCCCTTTCTCACCCCACCTTCCCCCTACCCTCCTGGTATTGCTACTCTCATTATTGGACCTGAGGGTTTATCTGTCATGGATTCCTTGCCCACAGGCAAGCCCCTCTCTACCCCAGAGGACTAGTCTTTGCCTTGCTGAGGCAAGTGTTAAAAGCTCTTGTAGCTGTCTCATTTACTGCTAAAGAATCACACGCAATCAGTAAGAGAAAGGCTGTGTTGACTGAGGAATATTCCTTTGCTTGTGTGTTCCTTGTATTACCTCATTCAGTCCTAATAAGTCTGTTAGATCTGATTAGCTCTTTCTGTATGATCTGCATCCTTAGGGAGGAAGGGCAGCATGCATATAATGAAAATAGAATTACAAAAACAAACCAGTTTTTGTCAAGCTGATTCCAGCTCATGGTGACCCCTCATATGTAGAGAACTACATAATGTTTTCAAGACTAACTTTGTGGAAGCAGTTTGTCAGCCCTTCTGTAGTTCCTCTGAAGTGGTTTTGAACCACTAATGTTTCAGTTTAAAGTCGAAAGCTTCATTGCCATTTGTGCCACCCACAGACTAGAGTACAGTACAATTCCATATGTACTTCAAGGGCTGATGGAGAGGGCTCACTGGCATATCAACCTCTGGAGGGAACTTAGCTGATGGTATGGCCTTTCAGAACCGGCAGGAGGCGAGGGCCTTCTGTCATTTTCCTCTGCTTCTGAGAAGCATCTGTGCTGCGTCTTCCAGGTTGTGGGCAGAATCCTGTTCGACAAGCCAGTGTGGGAGCAGGAATCCCCTACCTTGTTCCGGCTTGGAGCTGCCAGATGATCTGTGGGTCAGGCCTGAAAGCTGTGTGCCTTGCAGCCCAGTCAATCGGGGTAGGAGACTCCAGCATTGTGGTTGCAGGAGGCATGGAAAATATGAGCAAGGTAAGGCATCAGAGGAGATGGCTCTCCCTGATCTCTCACTCAGAAATTCACCACTATGTTGTAGTGCAGCGGTTCTCAACTGTGGGTCGCGGCCCCTTTGGGGGTTGAACGACCCTTTCACAGGGGTTGCCCGATTCATAGCAGTAGCAAAATTGAAGTTATGAAGTAGCAATGAAAATAATTTTAAAGAGTATGGTTGAGGGGGGTGGTCACCACAACATGAGGAATTGTATTAAAGGGTCGCAGCATTAGGAAGGTTGAGAACCAGTGGTGTAGTGGGATAAACTTATGGATAGCAAGGCTTAACCAAGTAGTGAACAAGCAAGCAAATAAAGATTTAAAATCATTTTTGAAGTCAACCCATCATATTAGTCATATGAAATTATTTTTGAGGAAAAGTCAGAAACAGATGTTGCCACTGGTGTTAATCTGGGTTGACTAGAGAAGCAAATTCATAGACACTCATGTGTATAAGAGAGAACTTTATATCAAAGAGATATTGTATATTAAGAAAACATCCAAGCCTATTCCACATCAAATCCACAAGTCCAATATTAGCTCATATGTCCCATACCAGTCTGTAAATTCGTCCTCAGACTCATGCAACACGTGCAATGATGCTGCTTGCGCAGGAAGATCACAGGCCCGTAGGTAGAACATCTTGTGGATCCAGTGGAAGCATCTTAGCGCTGGCGTGAGTCTCCACATGGCTCCTCCAGCTCAAGGCTCTGGCTGCCATCAGCATAACTCCATGTGACTTGTCAACAGGAATGTCTCACAGGGAGACAGCAGAGAGAGTGTGTCTGGTCTCCAGTGTGCTACTTATCTCCGTAGCGCCTCCAAATGAGGTCATCAAGCTGTGACCTGACTGACAAGACTACACTACTCCTTTTCAAGTTAAGAAGAGGTTATGTAACTTCCACACCACTTACCTTCTTGCAAATGGTTAGCAGGTCCAATCCTTGTTGACCTCGGAAGAGCTACCTGTGACTGTACTCTTCTCCATTCGGTGTGCCAGGCACATACTTGTTTGGATCCAAGAAGTCTGGATGACAGCTACCTGGCAAACTGATTGGAAGCGATTCATATTTGTCCTCATTCGAAAGAAAGGTGATTCAACAGAATGAAAAAATTGTCGAGCAATATCATTAATATCACATGGAAATAAGATTTTACCAAAGATCATTCAACAACAGTTATAGCAGTACCTCGACAGAGAGCTGCCAGGAAGTCAAGCCAGTCTCAGAAGAGGATGTGGCAAGAGGGACCTTGGCTGAAGGCAGAGAATATCAAAAATATGTTTGCTCTGGTTTTATTGACTTCCCAAAGATACATCACTGTTGATCCACCATGAGTTACGGACAGCATTGAGAATAGGAATCCCAAAATGCTTCATTGTGCTCACGCAGAACTTGTACATGGACCAAGAGGCAGCTGCTGGAATAAAACTAGGGAATGCTCCATGGTTTTAAATTTGGAAAGATGTGTGTCAGGGATGTAACTTTTCACTTTACTTGTTCAACCTGTATGCTAAGTGATCTGACAAGCTGCCCTCTTATGAAGAAGAGCACATCAGGATTGGAGAAAGGCGTATTAACCATCTGTGATATGCAGAGGACACATCCTTGCCTGCTGAATGCGAGGACTTGAAGCATTTGCTCATGAAGATCGAGGACTGCAGCATTTTGTCTGATTTGCATTGTACTCACCGTAAAGAAACCAAGTTCTCACAATTAGACATAATGAATGAAGAAAGGATAGAAATGGTGAGAGATTTTATCTTGCTTGTATCCTCAATGCTCATGTGGAAGCAGCAGTCTAGAAATCAAATGATCTCTTGCACTGGGCACATCCTGTTGATGTAGTGGTAAAGTAGTTGGCTGCTAACCAAAAGATCTGGTTTGAACCCATTAGCTGCTCCAAGAGAAAAAGATCTGACTGTCCATTCCCATAAAGGTTAGGAAACACTTTGAAGTAGCTGTACTCGGAGTTGATTCAACAGCAATGGATATGGGCTTTTTAGTAGCTGGGACGCTGAGTGGATAGATTTTGCTGCAGAAATGTGAATGAGCAGGTAGAGTAAGCATGGAGTAGTCCTGTAACTACTGAGACTTCAAGCCTAGACCCTGACAGAAAGGTAGAATGGGTAAGAAGAGGAGAGATGACCAAGGAAATGTTTAAGATAGTTTTGAGTGGGATCCTAAAGTCCGCTCACTGCCGTCTTGGCTGTTCTGATACAGTGGGACCCTAAAGGACCGGGTAGAACTGCCCCTGTGGGTTTTCTGAGAGGCTTACTATTTACAGAAGCAGAAAGTCTCCTCTTTCATCATAGGAGTGGCTGGTGGTTTCAAACTTTTGACCTTGCAGTTAGCAATCCAACCGCACCCTAGTGGGATCCTAAAGAGAGGGTGAATTATAACCAAGCCCAAATCTTTTTGTATTTCTTGTTTCTAGGCTCCTCATCTGGTTCACTTGAGAACAGGAGTCAGGCTAGGTGAGACGCCTCTGACTGACAGTATACTCTGTGACGGTCTTACAGATGCATTTCACGACTATCACATGGGTGTTACAGGTAAGGCAGACGGCTGAAAGTATGGTGACCTACTATCGAGTAAAGAACTACTTCTATATGGCACAAACAGTATCTGCGTCTAGAGAGGTTTTGAAACAATGGCACGACAATTTCAGCGAGCAGTCCTCACGTCCAGTTCTTTGTTTCTAATCCTCATTCTCCACTGAGAGGAACCAGACTTCCTTCCAGAAATGCCTTAGTCCAGCTCTGGGACAAATTGCTAGAACATGTAAGGGCTTATCCTAGAGGTGCTCCAAAAGGACACAGGGGAGTCAGAGGAATTCCCACGGCTCTAATGTTGGACAATTGAAGGATCACAATAAATAAATGATGGGAGCGGTACAAAGAGGGAAGGGATGAATAGAAGCGGAGCACACGACCATTCCAGAGCAGTGAAATGGTGATGTCACTTTGGACACACGTGATGTTCGTTTGTCAAAACCCACGGAGCGTATACAACACAGAGTGAACCCTAATGTAAACTCTGGACTTAATGACATAGGAAGATCAGCTCATCAGTTGTAATTACTGTGCCAGAGACATGCAAGATGTTAATAATTTCAAAGGGAGAAAAGGGGTCCTTAAAATTATTGCGCAGGAACTGTTTGCGCCACTGGAGCATTCGAAAAGAGGTCATATTGGGGAACTCTGTATGTTTTGTGTGACCCTAAAACTGCTTCAAAAAAACAAACATCTATTATAAAGAGTAAATCATGATAGTACTGGATTATACCTCATTAAGTAAGATGAAAACACAACCACTCTATATTGACGTCAAGAACAGAGTAAACAGAGGAAAAAGAGAAAGCTCTTCTCTACAAGAGAATGCCGATCCATCTAGGGAACACTTTGGAGTTAGAAGTCCCTAAATGAGTGCTCAATCAGTGGAGTGAGAATTTGATGACATCAAATTACTAATTGTATAAATCTCATAAATTACTTAGTAATGGAAAATACTAATTTTATAAAGGGAGACCAGGTGAATGGCTGCATCTTTAATTGATCAAAGCTATGTCACCTGAGATAAACTGGCATCATACGGGTTCAATAAATGCACTTAGTTATTGTCTCCCTGCCTGCCTTTTCACTCAGTCTTAACCTAATGAGGAAATACTAGACATGCCCACATTAGGGAACATTCCACAAAAGAACTGGCCCATGGTTTAAAAATATATCAATATCAGTATTATGGATTAACTTGTGTCCCCCCCAAACCATGTTCTGGAAAGATAACCCCTATACATGTGAATATAGTCTGATCTGTGAATCAGTGTTGTTTGTTACATTAATGAAGCCCTATCCATGTAGAGAGAATTTTTAGCCATTCATTCTTTTTTTTCAAATGAGAAGCTTTATTAAAAGCTGGGGATCAGGAGTCAACTATTGCTCAAAAAGTCTCTCTGTCCCAAACCGATACTCAAACTCCATTTTATAAAGCAACAAATCGCGTGCAAGTGAGATAACTTTTTGCATCTAATCACAACTGTACATGTTGACGAGGTGGGTGAACAGCCAGGGAACTTTCTGCCAGTATTAGTTAAAGCCAGTCATTTTTGAGATGTAAAAGGAGATGGGTCCCCCACTATCATGATCCCAATTCTACAGTACAAATCTGACTAGACCAGAGCAGGTACACTGGTACAGATAGGAACTGGAAACACAAGGAATGCAGGACAGATGAACCCTTCAGGACCAGTGGTGAGAGTGGTGACACCGAGAGGGTGGAGGAAAAGTGGGGTAGAAAGGGGGAACCGATTACAAAGATCTACATATAACCCCTCCCTGGGGGACTGATGACAGAAAAGCGGTTGAAGGGAGACATCGGACAGTGTAAAACATGACAAAATAGTAATTTATAAATTGTCGTGGGTTCATGGGGCGGGGCGGGGGAGCTGGGACGGAGGGAGAGAGATAACCAAGGGCTCAAGTAGAAAGCAAATGTTTTGAGAATGATAGGGCAACAAATGTACAAATGTGCTTGACACGATGGATAGATGGATTGTGATGAGTTGTATGAGCCCCCAATAAAATGATTTTTTTAAAAAGAGATGGGCTCAGAAGCAGGAATAAGAGAAGGTAAGTCCATGCCCCACAAAGGCCACTAAGGAACAAATTAAAAAGAGACTCGGGCCTCCCCTCAAATTCAACAGAGAAAATCTCTCCCTTCAACTGTCATTCTGAATTTGCAGTTTTACCTGCGTAAATTGTGGGAAAATAAATTTGGTTTTTTTTTAAGCCACTCACTTGTGGTATTTCTAGAAAACATTCAAGAAACAGAAAGGTCCACGATATATTATGTGAAATAGGACATTATGTGTTTTGGATATATTTTTAAAAATCATTTTATTAGGGCTCATACAACTTATCACAATCCACACATACATCAATTGTGTAAAGCACATTTGTACATTCATTGTCCTCACCATTCTCAAAACATTTGCTCTCCACCTAAGCCCCTGGCATCACCTATTTTCCCCCTCCCTCCCCAGTCCCCCCTCCCTCATGAACCCTTGATAATTTATAAATTATTATTTTGTCATATCTTGCCCTGTCCGACATCTCCCTTCACCCACTTTCTGTTGTCCGTCCCCCAGGGATGAAGTTATATGTAGATCCTTATAATCGGTTCTCCCTTTCCACCCCACCCTCCTGGTATCACCACTCTTAACCACTGGTCCGTGATTTGGATATTTTGTGGACACTATATTACATATGGGCAGAACCAGATTGCAAACAAATTCCATTCCTAAGTTGAATTTGTATGTAAATCAGAAGAGTACAGTGTGGTTTTTATCAAATGTCAGCCAAATGTTTTTCTTACTATAACACTTACTGCAAACACTTCCAGATATGCCAAACCATCTTTAGCGTGTTTTGATTCATGTTTCAAAGGCATTTCTATCTTATAAACCATTGTGTGCATCTGAAAGTTTTATATGCTTTATGGGAGTTGGACTCTGAGCGTACATGACCACTGATATTGTCCCAATGGATGTATATGGCACCTGCCTGTTTTGTCTTGAGATTAAATTTCCTGAGTTTGTTCACTGGTTATGTAAGAGAAGGACTGTGTCTAGGGAAACCATATATACTGAAGTTAAGAAACTGAGGCTTAAAAGGGCTTGGCAACTCCAACTTTCTCTCAGATAGTTCTAATAAAGAGAATGACAGACAGGTGGAAGAAAATATAAACAATTGGTAAAAAGATTTCTATAAGCTTAAAACTATACAGAAAAGAAGGCAGAAAAATCAAATGACTATGTTACAGTATGTTAAGATACATTGAAGTCTTTATTCCTAGTAATTGTGATTGTGACTTTGTTTAGGAAGAGAGTCTCAAGCTGTTTTCATGTAAATGAGGTCACACTACAGTAGGGTTGGCCTTTACTGAAACAGGACTCTCAGTAAAGAAGACAAGAGACCCAGAGATAGAGAGCAGGTAAGTATCATGTGAAAACTGATCGATGCATCTGCAAACTCAGGATTTCAAGAAGCACCAGAAGTTGGAAGAGAACCTTCAAAGGGCATGGCCCTCCCGCCATCCTCAATTTGACTTGTAGCCACCTCCGGAGTGGTGAGACAACCAATTTCTATGGTTTGAAGCCTCCTAGTTTCGGTTAGTTTGTTAGGGCAATAACTGGAGGCTGATAAAAGAAAATGGCTTTTCAAGAGTCACCCGAACATTTCTGTATTCCTTGCCAGTGGTGGCAAGGTGACCGCTGAGCACATACTGCGTGCTCAGTCCGTGCTTATTTAGATCTGAAAAGTTTCAGCTCCCAAGAGCCAGTTCATAAAAATGTCTGTTGTTTTTTCCCCTCCTTTTCTCTTTCAGCTGAAAATGTAGCCAAAAAATGGCAAGTGAGTAGAGAAGATCAAGACAAGTTGGCAGTTCTGTCCCAAAACAGGACAGAGAATGCACAGAAGGCTGGCCACTTTAACAAAGAGATTGTGCCAGTGTTTGTCTCCTCAAGAAAAGGTGGGTTTGTAGGATAATCTTTTGTGAGTCCAGAGTAGGGATCTTAGTTTTCTCTTTCCCAGTAAAGGTATATCTGGATAGATCTGAATATATCTGAATGTGAAGGCGGGGTGGTTGTAATAGTTTACTGAGTGAAGAAACCAACTATCAGTAGTTATTTCCAGAGTGTCCAGAACTGATGTGTTCATACAGCTGGCTTCGTGGGAAACCAGAGCATTGGTTCTTGATTATTATGAAGCTCCAACTGGCCTGCTGCTGTTTCTATAGGGCCAAATCTCTTCAGAAGTGAACTCCCGGTACTTCCTGTTCCTTCTGTGTGCCCTTCCATTTAGATTCCTCCACAGTGAAGCCTTCTACGTCACTTGGCCATTATTTGGTGTGGAGAGCTCTGATACAGTTCCTGATTGATGACTGCTCTGATGTCCAGATTGGCCTTGATACTTACTACCTGAGTATCAAGTGTTTTATAGCTAGCGAAGTCCTGGGACTCGGTTCATAGCAACATTTTGTACAAAGCACTTCTTTCAGCCACTTTCTTCTGCAGGGCCTATAGATACAGGAACTAGTCTGTCAGATCAGCAGGTACATACGGAACTTCTAGGGCACTGATGAATCTGTTTCCTGTGATGTGGAAATGAATTGTGGGAGGAATATTTAAGCGACACATTAATAGTAAAGAGTTTGTAAAGGAAAACCAAAATAGACTGCATAGAATTATGTGATCTGCATTTCTGTTCCACTACCTTATACCCACCCACTGCCATTGAGTCATTATGTCTCTATATAGCAGTGGTTCTCAACCTTCCTAAGGCCACAACCCTTTCATACAGTTCCTCATGTTGTGGTGACCCCCCCCCCCCAACCATAAAATTATTTTCGTTGCTACTTCATAACTGTCCTTTTGCTACTGTGTTATGTCGGGCGACCCTTGTGAAAGGGTCATTCAACTCCCAAAGGGGTTGCGACCCACAGGTTGAGAACCACTGCTCCATAGGTTTCTGAGACTGTAAAACGTTCCAGGAACAGAGAGGTTCATCTTCCTTCCAGTAGCCTAGAGTTAGGATTGGAATGGTGGTGGTTTTGAACTCCTGACTTTCCAGCAAGCAGTCCGGTGCTTAGATAGACGGCACCACCATAAACCATAACCAAAACCACTGCCATTGGATTCCGACTCATCACAACCCTATTGGACACAGAACTGTTTCTGGGACTGTAAATCTTTACTGGGACAGAATGCCTCATTTTTGTCCCAAGGGGCAGCTGGTGGTTTCGAACTGCTGATTTTTTAATCATTTTATTGGGGGCTCATACAACTCATCACAATCCATATACACCAGTTGTATAAAGCACATTTGTACAGTTGTTACTCTCATCATTCTCAAAACATTTGCTCTCCATGTAAGCCCCTTGCATCAGCTTATTCCCCCCCTCCCTCATGAACCCTTGATAATTTATAAATTATTATTTTGTCATATCTTACACTGTCCGACATCTCCTTTCACCCACTTTTCTGTTTTCTGTCCCCCCGAGAGGTTATATGTAGACCCCTGTAATTGGTTCCCCCTTTTCACCCCACCCTCCCTTGACCCTCCCAGTATGGCCACGCTTAGCACTAGTCCTGAAGGGATCATCCATCCTGGATTCCGTGTTTCCAGTTCTTATCTATACCAGTGTACACCCTCTAGTCTAGCCAGATTTTTAAGGTAGAATTGGGATCATGCTAGTGGGGGAGGAAGCATTTAGGAACTAGAGGAAAGTTGTATGTTTCATCGTTGTTACACTGCACCCTGAATGGCTTGTTTCCTCCCTGTGACACTTCAATAAGGGAATGTCCAGTTGCCTACAGATGGCCTTGGGGTCCACATTCCCCCTCATTCGCAATATGATTTTTTTGTGAACTGCTGATCTTTTGATTAGCAGGTTGTTACCCACTAAACCACTAGGGCTCCATAATGCAGTTTTAGTTTAGTGGAAATCAGAACTTATTTGTGCATTTAACTAGTTCATGTTTCTAAAGATGTTGGCTCTTATTTATGTCATACTGGTAAATTCCCTCATCTTTGCCAACATCACGGTAAGGATCAACATGAATCAGATCCCCCAAACTAACATCCTAGCTACCCAGACCTGGGTAAGAGCTCACACATTAAATGACAACACCATCTGACAGAGTGAAAGTTAAGTAGATGCAGCTGTAAAGTTGGGGAAGTCCACAGAGACCCAACCTTCTCCCCTGCTGGCTTCAGATTGGATGTTTCTCACTGTGTCAGCTATAAGCATGGAGTTCTCAGAACCACCTTTCTGACCTATTGGTTCTTCTGAGCCCTCTAGGTTACTTAACACTTCTGTAAGGTGCTGTTGGGTCAGTTCTGCCTCAATAGTGACCTTGTATACAACAGAAGGAAACATTTCATGTCTGGTCCATGTTGCAGCCGCTATGTTAATCCATTTCCTTGAGAGTCTTCCTCTTTTTCATTGACCCTCTGTGTAACGAGCTTGACGTCCTACGTTCTTGAGATGAAGTCTTTCATCCTCCCATCTAAGGATTTCTTAACGCCCAGAAGGGTACAAAAGAGGGGACACATAGGAGCAAGATCTGGAAGGGTTCTTAAGAAGAGTTGTCCTCTCATAAACAGATGGCCACTCCAACCAGGACGATCACTCTGGCTTGGAAACTAAAGGGAATGGGTGTTCTCCTTGTCCAGTGGAAGTGGATGGGTGTATCCTATCAAACTCTCTTTTGAGAGAGTGGGACAGTGGCGGGACAGTCCCGTTTTTAAACAATTTGTCCCTCATCCTGCAGCATTTTAAAAATAGTCCCAATTTTTGGAAAGAATGCACAAGATAGGGTATACAGTTTTCGGCTGCCATGTGGCTATTTCGCCAGGATATGAGTTTTATCAATGGTGTCCCGCTTTACCAGTGTTAAAATCTGGTCACCTTATCTTAGGAGCATACATGCTGAGGACACGCGTGATACCTGATAGCCTAAAATGTGGAGCCCAGAGATAAAGAGTACAGATTTCCAAGAAATTGCTGTCTGGTATGATACGGGTTTTCAAAATGTACATTGATTTACCTTGTATTTCAATTCCAAACTTGAGTTCCTCTTGAGCTCTTTAAAAACAAAACATTGTTTTAATGTAAAAATAAACCCCTGGTGGCATAGTGGTTACACATTGGGCTGCTAACCACAAGGTCAGCAGTTCAAAACTGCCAATCCCTCCATGGGAGAAAGATGAGGCTTTCTACTCCTCTAAAGAGTTAGTCTTAGAAGCCAGGGGCAGTTCGCCCCTGTCCAGGGGGGTTGCTGTGAGTTGGAACCGGCTTGATGGCGGTGCATTTTTTGTTGCGGTTCTTGTTGAGAAAGATGCCTAACGTAAAATTTACTATCTTAAGTGTATGATTCAGTGGTTTTAATTACATTCTCAGTGCTGAGTGATCAACATCAATTAGCTGTTTCGAGAACTTTTAAAAAAAATATTTTTATTGGGGGCACTGACATCTCATCACAATCCATACATTCCTCCAGTGTGTCAAGGACATTTGCACATATGCCACCATCATCATTTTCAAAGCATTCTACTTGAACCCCTGATATTAGCTCCCCATTTCTTCCCCCTCCCTCACCTGCCTGCCCTCCCTCACGAACACTTAAGTTATAGATTATTTTTTCCCTCTTACATCATCCTCTGTTGCTCCCTCACCCACTTTTCTGTTACTCATCCCCCTGAGAGGGGGTTCTAGCTTGATCCTTTTGATTGATGCCCCCTTTCTTCCTCCATCTTCCCCTTATCCTCCTGGTATCTCTACTCTCCTTGTTGGCCCTGAGGGGTTTATCTGTCCTGGATTCTGTGTGTTGTGGGGGCTCTTAAATGTAGCAGTGTACATGCTCTGGTCTAATCGGTTTGTAAGGTAGAATTGGTCATGATAGTGGGGGGGAGGAAGCACCAAAGAGCTAGAGGAAAGTTGTTTCGTTGGTGCTATACCGCACTTCTGACTGGCTCATCTCTTCCCCGTGACCCCTCTTTGAGGGGATTTCCAGTTCTCTAGATGGGAATTGGGTCTCCACTCCATGCCCTCCCACCTCATCCCTGCCCATTCACCTTGGGTATGGTTTTATTATTGGTCTTAGATACCTGATCCCATTGACACCTCGTGATCACAGGTTGGTGTGCATCTTCCATGTGGGCTTTGATTCTGAGTTAGACGGCTGCTAGTTTATCATTTCTCGAACTTTTTAAGCCTCTCAAAATACTCATTCGAGGCCCCTCCTCCTCAAGCTCCCTTTGAGCTGGTGTAAGGCACCATCATCTTCATGTTAGAGTGAGCCTTTCTTCCCCGAGCCCCAGATTTTGTCTGAGTAATATGCCAAAGTGCTGTGGTGTACACGGTAGCATCTCTCATCTTGGCTAACTGGCTTTCCATTTTTTCCAGGTCTTACTGAAGTTAAAGTAGATGAATTTCCTCGACCGGGGAGCAACATGGAGGCAGTATCCAAGCTCAAGCCCTACTTTATTACAGATGGAACAGGCACTGTTACTCCAGCTAATGCTTCAGG